AGTGGCTTATTAATAGCATAGTTGCGTAGTTGCGCAGTAGCGTAATGGCGTAGTGGTCAGTGGCGTAATGGCGTAGTGGCGTGGAAAAAGTACGATATTCTTTTCATGGCCATTAAGCGCAGTGGCACGGGCTTTTGCTGAATCTTAAGTTGAATGCAACGAAGTGTAAATACATAAATTATAACTCAAGTCAATCCTTCAGTTTTCTTTCTAAAAGTGACCCGGAATTTCAACCAAAGATTTAGTGTGGAGGAAACTTGAATATGGATTTAGAGACCAAATAGGATTCGATGAGACATCTTAGCTTCATCTATAACATTAGCGAAGGGAAACATTTTAATGAGGAGTGTATCATGGTGATAGAATTATTTAATAATCATTTTCTTCACAGGCAACACAAGAGCATTGGAATTTTTAAATACATTGAATATATGGGATTCAAAATTCTTTTTTTTTTTAATAAAATGCATTTTACCTTAATTTTCATGTGTTGTTGATGTTATTTAACATTGAGGTGTATTGTTTTGAAGGGATTTAGAGCTATTTTTTTTAAATATCGCCATCAGTCATAACAATTTTGAATCGCATATATTCACTGTAAAGTTCAAATGCTCTGCTTGCATGGGTAGCCTGTGTTTTCCTAAGGCAAAACAAAGGAGATCACTAGAGACATGACGTGAACCCATCCATGAAAGTGTTTTTTTTTTCTTTGTTGTTGTTGTTGTTGTTATTGTACTGAATTTAGGATTTGTTTATGACTTAGAAATTCACCCGAGAGACGTCTATAAATCATAAAAACAAACAAATAAACATGAAAAAAATAAATAAATAAACAAAGGCTGGATCAGGTTGCGAACAAATTAACCATTTCTATCATTTGACAGAACAGACAAAGAAATCCAAGACCTAGATAGCCTTGCTTTGAGATTCAGCTGTCATTTAAAGTCATTTTATCTTATTTTACAAACTCAAAACAGTTCCCGGCTTTGTGTTTGAAATAATGGCAATTTGAATTCTGGACAGATCCTGCAATCGTTGCTCTTCAGTTGCAGTGTCGCGCCATGGTAAATCTGTTGAACACACTTACTTGCTTAATTAACGCTCACTCTTTGAATGTAAAGAACATTGTTTTGGGGAGGAGAGGTAGTGGAACGATTGTTTTGTCCAAGACTGTAAGTCGTAAAAAAACCAAGTCAGCAGCTCAGTTCAACGTATGCAGDCTGAAGTACTCCACATTTCAGATGAAGGAAGCCTCGCTAAACAGTAACTACCCAACAACAATCGATGTTCGCAGTGCTCTCTCAGGTAATGTTCTACGAAGATACCCAACAATGCAACTGACAACCTAACAATTGATATAGACACTTCAATATAACCAAGAACTTTTCCAAG